GCACTGACTTTAATTTTTCAAATTATTGTTTTGTAATTTCCTGAGGACGCCCACTCCCTTCCCAGGATATCACATACTAACACCGTAACACCACCACAACAAAAGCCAAAACACAAAAACAAAGAGGGTGGGAGCAACTGTCCTTGGAGTTATTCACGTATCCAACATGGGAGGTGAAATCTCCACCTATGATGTGTCTCAGGATGAGGGAGTGAGGCCAGGGCAGCTTTCTCAGCATCCCCCGCACTCCTGTCCATAGGGTGTCCTGTTAGCATCGTGCCCACATTGGTGTGATTTGAGCAGCTGAGTAACTGCAGCGAGAGGAAGGAAGGAAGGGAGGCCTGGAGTTATTCCAGGAAGGAACAAAGCCGGCTCAGAGACAAAGAGAATGAAAAGAACGCCTCTGCTATGAACGCCAATTAACGGCACAAATCCTGTCCTTGGCTTTAATTAGTGCCCCGTGTGCTGGATCGGCACTGCCGTTGCCGCAGACCAGGAGGGCAGCCTCCGCACGGGGGCGGGGGAGGAGCAGGACCCAGACGCCCAGTGTGCCTTCCTTTTCAGCTGGAGAGAGACAAAGGGAAAAATCTTCCATTTTCAGTTCTACGTCATAATGAGTACGTTCCCTTCTTGCTATTAAAGACTCTTACTCAACTCCGCATGTGCTTTTGGCCACTGGGCCACTTCTTAAAATAATCCATCAGCTTTAGGAGATAAAAGAGGAAGGAGGGGGTTGCCTGAGGGCGACGTACTTGGTCTCAGATGCTTCTCAGTGGCTGTATCCTTAGAGGAAGAACTCCAGTCTTCCCAGTATGGGTCCAGCATGAATTGTTATTACTGTTAACAAGATGTAACAACAGAAACTTTCTTCAACGGTGCATTTGAGAACATGGACAATGGACAGGATTGAAGTATAAATAAAAGAGGCATCATTTTTCATAGAAAAAGACTAAAAACCTGTCCAAACACTATCAGGGGTTGCCTATGGGCATTATTATCTCCCCCTTTGCTGCTCCACTTGTCTGTGAAGCCTCTTTTTTTAAACAACCGGCATCTAGTTTCAGAGAAACACTGGCTATGCTTCAGGCGGGTATACTCTGTCCGAGTTTGTCCACTTCTATGTGAGAGCTGCATGGACTGACAGGGCGCATCTGGGCTGCAGAGCCTGCCCACGCTCCCCCGGCCCTGGGGGACAGGAGAGGAAGTTCGGGGCCCCGGGGACTGACCCCCAGGCAGACTGTGCTGGCTTTGTGGACTTGCTCCCACCCCCAGGCCAACGTGGAGCACCTGGAGGAAATTCTGCAGAATAAAAAGCCATAAATTTGTGTTCCCCACGAGGCCTAGCTGAAGGGTTATACTTAGAAAGAGCACATATCAAAGGGGGATTACAGCTAAGGCAGGGGCAGCCTGGTCCTGCCTGGAGAGAGGAAAGGTCATCTGGCCTGGAGGCCCCCATTCTGGGACCTCTGGGGCACTCTGAGGGAACTTTTTGGTCTATTTTTAATATTAACTTCAAAAAGTTCTAATAGTTCAAAATGTCTGTAGTCACCCCTAAGTAAGGCCAAATAACTTGAGGTTTCTTTACACTTTCTGGCTGAAATATAGATATAGAAATTCAACATATAACACTTTTTTTTCCCTCAGAAATTGTCATCATGAGCTCAGAGAGCCAAATACATCTTTGATTAGTGAAAAGTGAGAAAATGAATCAAAATTTTGTAATTGCGGTTTGCTTAAAAAGAAGAGAAATAACCTTTAATGCAATTTCTGGAAAGCATACTCTTCTTGGTTTTCTCCTGCAGGTGAGGTGCCTGCAGTTAAGCGAGATTAACAGGGATCTGGCTCAGCCTGGAAGCGGAGAGGCCAGGCAAGGAGCACTCGTGCTCTGACTTCCAGAGCCACACACTAGGCCCATTGTGTCTCCACGTGCACCATGTTTTAAACTGTGATCCATTTAAAAATACTTAGAGATCAAGAAAGATGAGAGACAGAATTTAGTTTGCACAGTAACTTGTGTGAAACCATCAGTCTTCATGGCTGAAACCAGACAACACGGTGCTGAGTACTTCTTGGGGGGTTGGTCCCTCATTTACTGACAGGAAGCTGAACGGCCTGTGCACGGGCATCCTTGACGTGACCTGGGCCCCGCTGTTAACCTCTTTGCATACTTTTAGAACAGGCTCACATTCCTGCATTTAGTCTGTCAAGTGTTTTCCTTTAATTTATAAAAACAAAAACTGCACTGGTGAGAATCCACACTCCTCATCAAAAAAAGAACAAAGAAGACGTGGAGAGAGTTCGAGAAGGATGTTAAGGCACAGTTCACTCTGGATCTGTTCAGTGTTAAGGCGGATCACTGCTTTATGTTTTTCCTTAGTCAGGGGAATATGTACAGCACTGGAATAGATTCCATGTGTCCAATAAAAGGGTCTGCTTATTTCAGGATAAGAACCAACTCAACGGTCCCACTCTCTTATCAGTATAAATGGGCCCTCCCATTGCAACCCTCTGAAAAGATAATTTATAGTCCTTCTTGACCTTACCGTTTCTTGGGTTCTTTCCCCTACAACTGCTCAGCAGTAAACTCTTGGGGCTTATGGCTGTGTGAGTTATTGCAAATGGCGACATCTGCAAATAAAACGGCTCTCCTGCAGATTATTCCAACAGGACTGATTCACATCTGGACAAGGAGAATGCCCCACTGGATACGCCAGAAAGCAGAAAAACAGCCTTTTCCCAAGGTGATCCAACAAATGAACCCCCAGAGTGTGTGTGGGTATGAAGACAGGCTTTGCAATCACTGTCTATGATTTACTGGGTATTTTAAAGTTACTTTGGGATTCATTTGTTGGATATTACTCAGAATCAACTTTTCCTTTTCCAATCTGATGCATATAAATGTGCCCATAATCAACTGAGTAATTGGAACTAGAATGCATTATTAAAATAGCACTTTGATATAATGTGGCATTCAGGAAATTGTCTGGGAATTACTATGAAAGTTTGAAAAGAGATGGATGTCATGTTTCCTCAGAAAAAAAGATCTAAGTGGAGTTTTACTGTGAGGAGATCAGATTTTTTTTCCCATGAAAATTGCACTGGACATCTATTTCTTTCCAAATTTGCGTTAGCTTACAAATTTTGAGTGACAGCTTGAATAACAACACCTGGAGTTTCCATTATAGTCTGAGAGTTACTAGAATAAAAATATATCTAGGGGAAACCAAAAATTATAATAAAGAACTTCCTGTATTTAAAAAGTTAGTTTAATAATGTCCCTTTAGAGGAATTCCTAAGGACCTAAAATACTGCTGAGATTCAAAATTCCCTCTATAAGAAGAAAGCCATCTCTTTCTAAAACCCATGACTTCTCAGCAAAATTGCTCATTAAAATATTTCCGTCTAAACCTTGGGGATGTTCATGATATGCTGAGGGGGTGCTCTACTGTTATTCCCATTCTGCACACAAAGAACTGAAGTTCAGAGAGAGAAGGCGATTTACTTGGGACCCAGAGCTACTGGGTGGCTGAGATTTTAAGTCAGATTTTTGACATTATCAATTGCTCTTTTCACTGCACAGAAGTTATTGTTTTGTGTAAAGAGCTCTTACAGATCATCTGCTTCCGCCCCCCCACCCAGTGTGGAATTCCTAGCACATAGCATCACTAGCGGACCTGCCCAACTTAGACCCCTCCAGAAAGGGAGGCCATTCTTGAACAATTTAATTAATATAAATATGATAAAAGTCACGGTCAGAGACTTACAAATGCTCTGATAGCTTTGTGATAAAAAAAATATGAGGAGTATGATCAAAAACCACCCTGACACCAACAAATTCAATTTTCACACAGCTGACACCTCCTTCGGGGCACATTATTCGAAGATAATCCTGTTGTTTCCCTCTGGTACTTCACGCACACACACGTAACAGTACCCCGGCCCCTTCAGATGCTGACAGCAAACCTCTGCCTCCTCCTTCCTCAGATCCCCTCTCCTTTGGTGGGTCCCTCCACCTCCTCCATGTCCACTGAGCTCACAATACACAGAGTGCCCTGAAGGTCTGGCCAGATCCCCTGGACTCCCTCCCGCTTGCTGTCCACTTCTAAGTACACATGCAGACGAGAGAGTGACGGCAAACATTAAAAGCACACTAGCTCAGGACCAAAGTTCTGGTAGAAGCCATCCCGTCTGGAAGGCAGAAGACAGCCTGGGAGAAACTCATCTCAGTGGCTGTACAGTCTGGACAGATGTCAAAGGTTACAGCTGGAAAGCTAGCCTCCTCTGGGGCGTTGCAGGGCAGGGGTCTGTGGGACCCACACACCTAATTCCTTCCCTAGCTTCACTCTCCTCTATCCTATTGCCTTTTCCTCAAAGTGGAATTCTGCTTCTCAGATGACCTTTGCAGGAATCGTGTTTTCTTGTTTTGACTCTAGTTCTGTGTATAAACCAGAGCCGGGACACACACTCCCCTGAAACAGACTGGTGGTTACTGGGAGACCCTTCCCTGCATGTAACTTCACGTTATCTTATTACATGGCTGCAGTTCTCAAGAGAAGGAACCAGAGAAACTAAATATACATGCAGGACACCCGAACAGTCTGAAAAACCCTAAACAAGATTAAACCTGAAAATGACAGACATGAGACCATAAGAAGGCAATTTCTAGCACAGATGACTTTAGACTGTTTACATGGCACTTACAGGAAAAACGGGGTCATCAAAAGCAATCCCAGATACTAAGAACACCTTACAACCAAGCAATCAATCAACACATCACCGTACAGAGCACAGCGCCCCATTTCTCAGGCCTTTCCGAGAGGGCCCCCACAAAACCTCCCCCAGCAGCCCCTCTGACAAAATGGTCAGCAGACAATACGTTTCAGCAGTAAAAGCACAAGACATGTCTGTTTCCAAGCCCACGACAAGCACCCTGCGGCCACCTGGAAGGAAACAGGCCCGGGAGAGCAGGCTGGTGGGAGCCGGGGCTGGGGTGTGTGTACCTAGGTCGAGGATCCAGTACTTGCAGGTGCCGGGCTGCCCGCCGCTACGGTAGGCTGAGCCGACGACGGGCGACAGCGAGTCCAGGGGATCGGGGGGTTTAATTCCGTTTGGCATGGTGCGGCCGAGCCAACTTGAGGCCAAAGGCTCCGAATCCCAAGCCTCCCTCCGCCTGCGGCAGCCAGAGGGACCCCTTCCTCAGCAAAGCCGGAGCCGGAGCCCCGAGTGCTCAGAGGCAGGCTGGGGGGAAGCGTGGCCGCTCCCTCTCCCGGCTGCGAGCACTGCCTTCCAGTGGGCTGCACGTGTGGGAAGATCAGACGCCGTGGATTACTTTCTACCACAGTGACTCTAATTGGAGCTCAAGGAAATTCTGAGGGCGCGCTGGGAGCCAGATGTTTCTCCTCTCCTCCGCCAGCCGGGGCTGTGATTTCCTGACTCAGTGAGACGTCAAGTGGTGGGCGCCCTCCCCTCGCCAGGCTCTCTGACTTGGGCTTTGTGCGCACTTGGACGGAGGTCTTCTCGGAGACATACAGCAAGCAGTGCCTCCTGATGTGACTTGATAACAAAAAGGAACGTAATTCGGTCTCCAGCCAGCTGGTTACATCACTGAGCTACAATGCCCCTCCTCGCTTATTAAAAACATATCTTCGTTCTTCTTTACAAGAAGCAGCCATACAAGTGAAAATAAATATCCACACTTGTGATTTGTAAGGACATTCTTAGTAAAGCCTCTGAAAAGCTTATTTCTGTCCTCTTCAGAAATCGGGCATTTTCTTTAGCCTACACAAATTCTTACTCTTTCCTTGCAAGTTTCCACGTGTTCTCTCCCTTGTCTCACACAGCACAATGGCTTCTTAGGGGAACATCCATTGTTTAACAGTCACGAAGTCTGACGTTTCAAGTTCTATGGTAAGTGGACACACTCCCTCCCTCTGTTTCTAATTAATTCGAGAAACATACACAGTGCTCTCTAAACTCGACTTTGATGGCTAGCTCCTGCTTTGAGGCAGTCACCTGGAATATTCTGTACGTATCTAAAATGGTAACACAGCCCTAAGTTACCTAAGGGGGTGCTATTTGTTGAAGCCTACACTTACCCGAACAAAATCATGCACTATCTTCTTGAGTTCTTTTTATTAGTAATTCTCATTTCTCCTTTATCTAACCTAATAGTATAAACAATTTTATTTGTGTTGCTTTATTGCTTTGCTAAGAAAAATGTTGTTTTTTTAGTTCCTTTGTTAAAAAAAAAGTTAAACTTGGGTTCTCCCTTCCCCCACTTACTGCAAAATAAATTAAAAAATTCTCTAAGTGAATAATGTGCAAATAGCATAGACTTCTAGTTGCTTTCTCAGTTTCAGACAATTAACAACTATGAAAAAACAAGAAGGGAATAAATCCAGGGCGCTCCCAGAGAGCTGTCTCCAGCACTATGATACCTCCCCAAACAAACTGCTACAAAGCGGGATTTGGCATTTATAGGCCCACATTAGGCCTCATATTCTTCTTAAAAGACCAAAAGCAAAGCATAAGGTTGTTTTTCTTTATAAATGGTCCCAGGACAGATCCAGATGGTGTACTTAACGCCAGGACCAAGCAAGAGGCAGAATTCTGCACAGAGCACTTTTTTATGCAAGAAAAGAAAACTTTATTACCAAATAAATAACCTTCTCTCTTCTTGGCAAAAAAAAGCAGTAAAAATTGTCCTAAAGGAAATCAAGTTAACTGACATTCTAGGGTTTCATTTACTACAACTTTTATTAAATATTTTACTTTGTCCCTTTCCAAGAATACAGACTGCCAAGCAAGGGTCATTAATTTAAAAGTCTGAAAAAAAAAAAAAGAGCTGTCAGGGAAATTAATCACTTTATGTGTAATACACGTTCTCGCCTTAAGAGGAAGGGAATGATGCTGAAAAATGAATAAAATAATTTTGGCTAAGAAATGGGAGACATTTCCCAGTGACTGCCCTCTTCAAATTTGAAGTTCACATCTGTCAGAGAAATGTGGCATGGCAGGAAGGAAGGAAGGAAGGAAGGAGGCTTTTCTCATCCCCTCCTTCCTCTAGTCATGAAAGTATGAGCTTACAGAGTGTTTACTATGTAATGTGGCACTTTATAGGGAAGTAGTAAAGATAAGTTATATCAAGTAAAGGCACCACATGGCCCCCACCTGGAAGCAACGATAATCAAATCCCTGGATGGACAATCATGGAACCAGCCAAAGAGCTGATGTCGGTAAGTGAAAGGGATGGGAGAGAAGGCGGGGCAAAGGGAGAAGGAAGACAGTCCGAACAACCAGCAATGTTTCCAGGGAATAAGTTTTGAATCTAAGGCTTGTTTCTCCCTTGGCGGTATGACCGGGTCTCTGCCCTAAGAGTCTGGGCCAGGTTCAGGTGAGAAAGACCCAAGGGTGACCTCAGCTGACCCCGAGAAGAAAAGCTTGCAGGAACCCTGGCCAAGAGAGTGGGAAGGACCGGTGGTGAGAACAGAGGCTGTGACTTCAGGTAACTCGAGAGGTTGTAAAAGAGGTGGTCATGCGCCATGAGCAGTCAGGAAGCAAGTAGGAAGCTCCAGGATGGGGGGCAGGGGCGTCTGCAGTGTGAGAACACCGTAAAGTTGGGAAGGTGGTCAGGAAACCATGTGGGACCCCTGAGAGGAAGAGGACAGTGAGCCCAGTTAGGACTGATGCAGGTGAGCTTCCGCAAGGAAAGCAGACAGACATGGAAACTGACTAAACGCGGTGGGCCAAAGACAAACATTTTAGGCATTTGGCAAAACAGGAGATACACCTAAAAAGTGGAGTTTGTGAAGGAAAACAAGAAACTTTGTTTTTTGGGGTTATTTCTGATACTTTCATTTGATGGCTGACCGTATAATTAAAAGGATCACAAAGAAAACAGAAGACACACTGCCAAAGACAGTGTTTAAAGACATTACCCAAGGTTTGTCTGTGAGGACCAAACAGCAAGGGGTGCTGGGAAGAGAAAATGAGATGTATCTGTTGTATGGAAATTGCGTGTTGACTCTTTTAACCACAGTTACGTTTCACAGAGCCCAAAATAAGTAATTAAGATCAACTAGCATGGGGGGGGGGCTCAAACGCAAGGTAAACCCAGTAGTAAATGAACCTCGCTGAGGCACCAGGGAAAACATAACCACACTGAAGAGGGTGGGGAAGAAGAACATTCACTAAGTGACTCTGAGAAACGGCATTTTGATTGTATACTGTGAAACCAAAGACAAAAAGAGTCCTAAATTTGTGTCATGGGTTGGCAACGAGAAAAGGCAGACTTGAGACTCTCAAAGCCAAGTCATTTTAGGGAAAGAGAATACTTAATTTCCAAAGAGGGGAAAAATGGGTTCTAGACTAGGGTTGAACAAATAAGCAAATATATTTTGGATAACAAGATGCAGGTGTCTCACTGTCAGAGAAAAAGGTTACAAGTAAGGCAAGGCAGAGGAGGGCCAGAATGAACGCTGTGCTGTAGGACAGGAATCACAGGTATCAGGTGGTATGAACTTACGTACACAGTGTATATACACGTGTGTGTGTGTGTGTGTGTACACACACATATACACACGTGGGGTGAGGGAGACAGAACGTGACCATAGACACATGTGCACACATGGGTAGGTAAACAGATGTGTCTGCTGAGAAGACCTAAAGGAACAGATGATCCAGGGCTGAGGCAAGGAAAACATCAGATGAGCTGGGAGCATTCCGTATTGTCAGCAAGCAAGGAAGTGCTCCAAAAACAACATGGCGGGTGTGTCCTGAGTACACAGAAGCTGACCTGAAGACACCCCTAAAGGCCAAAGCTGGAACAATTTGAACAACAAAATACATGACAGTATTGGACAATGACTCACAGAATAAAATAAATCTCCATGACTCCATACTGACATACATACATACATACATACATACATACATAAGGCAGAGGGATCACTCTTCCTGACAGAATTCTAACGAATAAATTTAAAAGGGATGAGGAAAACAGAAAACCACCAGTAGGCAAACTCCACTGTAATAGCTGTTGCAGGGATGGCTGCTAAGACGAGTGGGGAGAGGCAAGAGGAGAGAGAACATTCGCATAGTTTCAGCACATCTCCCACAAGGTGTTTATTAATTACAAACAGAAAACCAGTAACTTCAGTAGGGGAATCTGCAGACACTGCTTTAACCGGGTGTTCAAGGTCGCCACCACCAGGCATGTCCAGGTCCCCCTGCGGCCCCCACCTTGCACAGGATGCACTGAGTAGGGCACAGCTTCATTTTTGTGGTATTCTTGCCCCAAATGTGTAAGCACCATTGAATCACGAGAAAACATCAAATAAACTAATTGGTGGGGGGACATCTTACAAAATAAAGGATGACTAATACCTCAACAGTGTCAAGTTCATGAAAAACCAAAGCAGAGGAAGAACACAGTAGACTGGAGGAGACTAAATATGAAGTGGGTCCTGGATTGGATCCAGAGCCAGAAAAAAAGACACTAAAGCAAAATCCAAAATCAGGTCTGTGTCCTGGTTAACGGTGCTGCCTCAGGGCTGCACCTTCCCTCTAAGATCTAAAATGATGTTTAAATAAAAAGTTTTTTTAAAAATAATTGATACGTTATATAAAAAGAAATTGAGAATGTGAAAAAAGATACCAGAGAAAAGTAGGCAAAGTTAGAGAACTTCTATGGAGAAAAAACATATTAGGCAAATTAATGACCTGTGAATAAAGGTATCTTTGATTTATTAAAAAAATATACTGAAGAAACAGAAAAATCATTCTTTGCACAATTGTGGGCAAATTTATATTAGTCAATCTCATTCTCATGAAAATAAAGGTACTTTCATTTAAATTGATTGAGAAGAAATTTGGTCAAAATCAACGACCTCCAATATCACCTTTCATGTAAGTTTTTCTTGTGATAATTATTCCTCAAATATTTAAAATGAGAACCTCAACATTCTAGTGCCTATAATTAATCTGTCCAAAAACATAAGATCATTTTGGCCAAAGGAGGTCTCAAAACAAAACAAAACAAAACAAAACCCACATCAGTGAAGAAGATCTATATACAAATAAATGGTGCTTTATTAAATCAGGACTAAAATTATACTTAAAGCTGTTTGTAAAATTAAAATTCAGATGCCAAAGCACCTAAAGTCTTTCTATTAAGATTACAGCACTTTCTGAAGAGGAAGCAAACATAGTAATTAGACACTTAGTTAATGCTGAATAAAAAGGTCCTCAATATCTTATAAGCCAAAGACGGGATCCGGAAAACAACGGCAGCCACATTTTGAGATGGAAACTCAAGGGCACAACTCTTAGGAACATTATTTATAATTTCCTTTAAAACGTAACAGTGTTTCCTTGAGACTTGAAGCACTGTCAACGATGCTGATAAACTTTTAGTTGCCTCCCTTCCAGCTGGTCCTGAAACCCAGCTACTTGGAGGAGCAGGCGCGGCTGCTGACGGGCTGGAGCAGCCCAGCCCTCCCCGCGGACGGACGGACGGACGGCGGCTCCGGGCTGCCTCCTGACCTGCCCCCCGGCCCCAGCCCCACTTCCCTCTGCGCGGCGTGCCCACGGCGCTGGCCTCAGCACAGCTGCGCCGCCGGGATGGAGGTTCTCAGGTTCCACGCACAAAGATACCCCTGTTCGGAGGACGTTTTGTCCAGTTTCCTACCCCGCAGATAACACCTCCTGCTCCGGAGGGAGCGGACGCAGGACTGAATCCTGCTTCTGAGGGCCCCATTCAGCACGTTATTTCCTGCCGCCTTCTGGCACAGTTGCCGACCCACAAAAGCACCTTTATTGAGGCGTTCAGACCCTTCATCTGGGTGCCAAAAATCCGATAGGCTCCTTTTCATTGCTTTACTTACTATCTTTTCACAGACGATGTGAGTTTTTCTCTAACTTGAACAAAACCAACATTCAAGGACTCCTTTTTCCCACTTCACTGTAACTCACCACGTGACACTCTGTTTGCATCAGCATGTGGATTATTTGCAGAATGGCAATATGAGATGGTAACTCCACAAGAGTATTCCCCAAAATCCTAACAAAAACAATAGTGCTCAAAAAATTAGAGCAAGGTCGCCAACTCCTGGCGGCCCACACGTGCCTGTCATGTCCCAAATCTGTGATGCTTCAGAGGGCGAGGACACAGGCTTACCCAGGGAGGGTGGACCTGACAGGAAGCTTATCTCCCCAGCTCTTCCAAGGATAGCCAAGGGGCAGATTTTGATTCGGGTGGCTGGTGGGGGGGCAGTCAGAAGCTGAGGAAGAGAAGGGGGATATGGGTTGTGGAGAAGAAAAGTTTTACTTCCAGATGTAAATTGATAAAAAATTTTTTGTTTTGTTTTGACTCTTGTGATTGGTTCTTCCATTCATTCACTCACAACAACACCACTGAGGGTCAAGTTCTGTGCCTGACTCCGGCAGGAGGAAGAGGAGAAGGAAAAGGGACAGATTTCCATTAAGGCAGCTCCTTCGGGTGATGGAAAGCAGTGGGAATTACCATATCATAAGTGAAAACAGAAGACTCATGTCAAATCAGAACTGAAAATAGTGTCAACGTTCTGAAGGTTTCTCTTTTCAGAGGAAGTGACTACTGGACGTGGCGGGAGGCGGGGATGGGAAGCCCTTAGGAATGACCTCAGTTGCAGGCGGGCAAGTGGTCTCAAGTGTGGTGGACCTGGGAAAGCGGCTTCTGTAATCAGCTCTTCCACAAATGAGGGCTGCCTTGGGCAACTCAGTCTGTCTCCAGAGGCTACAGCTTCCCTCCGGACCACAGGCTCCTTCCACGCACGTGGCTGCTGAACACACATGTAAATGCAGAGCATCATTCCCTTGTCAGTGTAAAGGGAGCAGATGCGCAGTGGTTGGGAACTGGAGCCTGAGGTCTGACTGCTGCTTTTAGAATCCCCTTTTCCATCACCTACCAAGCCCGGTCAAGTTAATTCCTGTGTCTCCATGTTCTTACCATAAAATAGGGATGATAATGGTATACGCTGGCATCGGGGCCTCTTGAGGATTAAACGTTTAGAGAAGCAGCACAGTGCCTGGCACGCCGCCAGCCCTCGACATCTCCTGTCACTGCTGTTACTCTCCTGAGGCTCTGGCAGTCCCTCTGCTGTGCGGTGATTGTGCCCGCCCTCCCCCCAATTATAATGTTCAAGTCCTAACCCCCAGTACCTCAGAATGTAACCAGATCCATAGACAGGGTCTTGAAACGGTGATCAGGTTGCAACGAAGCTATTAGGGTGCGTCCTAATCTGACTGGTGTCCTTGTAAGAACAGGAAATCTGGATACATGAGAGACCCCGGGGTACACACAGAGGCAGAAGCATGCGAGGACAAGCAAGGAGGCGGCCGTCTGCAAGCCAAGGAGAGAGGCCTCAGGAGAAACCAGCCCTGCCGACACTGATCTTGGACCTCGAGCTTCCAGGACTAGGAGAGCTGTTTACGCCATGCAGTCTGTGGGATCTTGTTACGGCCGCCCGAGATGACCAAGGCACCCTCCATCCCAACTGACACCCATCTGCTCCATAATCTGGGGCATAAATGCTCTCGTTAGTTTTGAGAAAGCAGGAAACTGACCTATCTCTAAGAACAGAACTTAAATATTCTTTCCTTCTAGTAAGTTCAAAGTTCTACAGACTCAGAAGAAGGGGTAGGGGAAGAAAAGGATGCAACTGAACACACAGGGCTGCAGGCATGACAATGGAGAAGGACACAGAGATTCCAGAGCTGTCTCGCAGCGCAGCCAAGGCGCGTGAGCCTATTTACCATCTTCTCAAATGTTTGCAAGGGCCCTTCAGACAATAAACATGCTGGGCCCCCCGTCCTGAGCTTGGCTGAAAACTTTGGGGGAAAATGACAGCGCCCTTGAATAGTCAGCCTTGTGGAATGACCACGCTGTGCAAAGCACCGCAGCCAGTTAGACCACACGATAACACGCCTTGAAGGCCCAAGCACGGAAGTGTCTCAGAAGACTCCAGGGTAGCCCCGCTCTAGTCCTCACAGAATGCCAGGAAGGCAGCCAGAACCTTCTCCTAGACAGAGCTAGCTGTGGGGGTGAGAGTTCAAAGATCAGCCTCTTTACCCCACTGACTGACCTCCACACCCCCCCACCAAATCCTTTCAGGGTGTCAGTAAAGGACGAAAAAAGTTAGATTGGGGAGGGTTTTAAAAACAGAATTTTTCAAAATTCATTGTGAAATATTTGCGATGAGAAGGTGAATCCTAGAAAATACAGAGAGTACACAGAGACTTTAAAGCCCATTACAAAAACTACAGCCAGCACTGTCTTGTGAGTGTGTTTCTCACAGGTGACAGTGTGGTCTGGATTCATAAGAAGCCTTGCATGGATGGAAGGCAAAACAGTGGCACCACAAAAAGCTATTTTTATACACATGCTGAGGGAAGTTACTCATTCTTTGAAACTGCCACCACTCTACATTTAGGGCCGAACTCCTAATTTGCACCCCTTTGACTGAGTCTATAATACAAATGCAGACACTGCATGAAAAAAGGTGAAATACTATTCACGTTAATATTTCACTGCACGCTCCCGTGCAGAGCTCTGTGGGAAAACGTCCATCAAAAGCTCACCTCACAGGAGTCACCGGAAGCTTACGATGCAATTTATATGAATGATTTTAAAGAGTGACCTTATTCAAAGGGGTGAATTATTTTTTCCCTAAATGTGCAAGATGAAATTAGAGAACTCCAGGTGATCGGTATAGCTCAAATCTGATAAAGATGAGAAAAGTACATAAAAGCTAACGTCATTAAATAGCACATTTACTGTGATTTTTTTCTGATGTAGTTAATTTAAGATTCAGGTGATCCTTCTTCAAAAGTTGATTTTCCAAATGCATTTACCCTTCAATTCATCAATCCTGCAGAATTCCATAGTACAGACAGGCTTGCATATGAATGAAAAGACGGACACACAGAGGGTTGGGCTGTGACCCCGTTTACAGCAGCAGCAGACCAGAAGCAACCCAGGGGCTCCGCCACACACTAGTTAATAACCTGAGTTGTGTGCACATGTGAAGTCCTGGAGGTCCGTAAAAAACAATGAGGCATCCACCTCTCTCTGTACGAAAGCAGTTTCTAAAAGATACGGCAGCGTGAAAAAGCCAGGGGCAAGATACACTGCCTTTTACATAAAAACACGAAAGGAGGAGTGAATACACGTCTGTACGCGCCTAACAGAGTATCAGATGTGGAGCTGGGAATGAATGAAAATGGGATCTCTACCCGGACAATAAGACTATGGCAAACAGATTTCTCAGTTTATATACCTCTTGGTTTTGAACCACATGAAATATTTAAAAATAAGTTTTAAAATTTGTCATTTCTTCCCTTCTATAGCAAGGAAGATCTGAATGTGGGGGTCGCTGAAGTTGTATGCAAAAGCTGTGTACTTGTGTACATTTCCCTGGGGTAGGTACCACGGCTTCTGTCAGATTTGGCCAGGGATACGTGATTCAGAAGCTCGCAGGGCCCGCTGCTGCAGCATCGGCCGGGGTCTCCAGGGTATTTCCGCCTCTCCTTGCCCGTGGCAGCTCAGCTGCCAGGATCTACAGTCAAATCTAACTGCCGATGGGAAAGTTAGCTCTAGGAACGCAAAATAATCACCCAATCATCTCATGCTTCTTGGAACAGAGAAAGGAACACAGAAGCAAAAATCAAACGCTCTTTCTGTGGTTTTCTGGCACATCTTCTCCGTGGGTGCTTGGGTGTTGTATAATCAGGTGTCCCCAGAGCCACAATCTAGTAGATGCCCACTTATTTGGACTGAAATGTAACAATTGTTCCCCTCCATGTACAGCATTTATTCATTTTCAAAACAGTTAATGAAAACCCCAGCACATGGTACTTTTGAACGACCTCTCACCAAACATCCCTGCCATGTAATTTCTTACAGCTTCCACAGGTGCCAAGTAGAGTGAATACATTTAAAAGAGAAACCCTGGATTGTCTAATAAACAGCAAAGTCTGATATGAACATACGACAGAAAGGAGACAGTTAAAACAGTGGAGTCCACAGAAGGGTGGGGAGCAGACACCTCCACCCGGGACCTGCAGCCGCCCCTGCCGGGCCGTGAGTCACCCTGAACGAGACGCACTTCTGTTTTCGTGGTGATCTCCCCTCCCGATTACATAGCTTTCCCTAAACACTGTGTCATGGCTGCTGAAATCAAGTGTGGGAAGACGGTTTTCTCATTCATTGTTTACAGCTTTGCTATATATATAATTTTGTGATCATCTAATACGGATGGTGTCAATGCCTGCTCACAGCCTTTTTCCTGTTTTAATAAACACTTTACTGTAAAGTTGGAATGTGAAAATACCTCCAAGTGAAGCATTCAGCACAGGCATGGCCCACTTGTGCAGCTCTGTAATTACACACTGTGCAGAAAACGCTCCTTAATCACAGGTCTCGGGCTGACCATACGGCCCTGGGTCCACAGGGCTCAGGAGAGGGACAGAGTCTTTGTTCTTGTGCAACTCCACGTTCCTCAGTTTTCCTTCCCACAGGGATTGACATTAGCAGCTGCTCAAACAGACTAAAAAGTGCTCTTTCCCAAGCTAATTTTTCGAAGTATATAGATCTTCCATTATACATATACTTAAAGAATGTGTGGGCAGACACAGGTTTGAAAGATCTATGCACTGGTGCTCCTGGGGTGGGTGTGTTTTCTGATTAACAGCAGTAATTAAGCCAATGTCTAAATATACCAGAATCACAACATATTCAACTAAAAATTTCAATATTACTAAAGCCTTTTTAATGCCTTCTGTTTTCCAAAAACATATTAGGGCATTTAAAAGCCATAAGCAGTCCTAAGAGTTAGAGACCTAGACGCATCCTTGGGACAGAGGGTTTCATGATTTGAGAAGGATGATACTCGGGCTGGACAGATCTACATCAAGCCACCCCCGGTATCCTTGGGGAAGGTATCCTTGGGGAAATGCAGGAGGCCTGGAGCTCGCTCTTCGGTCACACAGGCTTCTAGTGAAGGCGGAGAAACACCTGACTCTCCACAGAGCTGCTGCTTTCCTGGGTAGGGGTGATGAGGGGAAAGGACGAGGCCCCAGCCCCGCGAGGCCAGGCTCCCCCTCCTCTGCTGGGCTGGGCTGACGCTGTCCTGGGAACTGAGAAGGTGGTCTGGACGAGAGAGAGCAATCTTAGTAACTGCTTGTATTCTGAGCAGGAAAACAGCTTTAAAGTCCACCCGGGGGTCGGGGCCCAGCTCAACCCTGAAGACGGCACAGGCTGGGAAGCCAGGCAGGGTGGCCTGGGCCTGGGCCTGCCAACTCCACCCCTTCCACTGTCTGGAACCTCTGGTGAGTCCTGCCACCTGGTCTCATCTGTACGGCATGAGACCCAGGGACACGGGAGTGAGGGGCGGGCGGCGGGGGGTGCCACTAGCAAAGGGGCAGAGTCCCCACCTCACAGGACGGGATGGGGAGGCTGAAGGGCCAGGTGAGGACAACAGCCCTGGAGGGACGGCGAGAGGGGCTCAGACGCACTGCAACCCGGGCCCTAAGGGAAACACGCCCTAATTTTATGCTTGCACAGTGGCTGTGCCAGTGGTCATTACCCCAGACTCAGACATGGAGCTTATACCCTCCAGGCCCCGGGACCGCAGCAGAGTCCCTCGCTCTAAGAAATGATGTGTGATTCTGAGGAGCAACCCCTGGAACCAGTGGTGTGTCCCTTCCACACAGCTGTGAGTAACGGCCCCAGGGAGTGTATCCACACGTCCTGTGTATCTTCGAAGTAAAAGAACAGAACTGGACAGGACGGATTATGCTGACCTGCACTCGTGTGCCCACGAGCACCCCTGCTGAGACAGCCCCCCACTCAGGGTCCCCCTTTCCACGACGGCTGTGGGAGGAGGCCCTACGTCCCCGGCAACCGTGTTGTATACAGGCTCTGTCCCCTGTACTCCCCCATCACAGCTGTAAGTTTAGCACGATAACTGCACCCCCACACCTGTTAAAATGTTTTAACGGACTTTCAGCGAGTTCCTATGCGGCTCCTCCTGCATCTTCAGTGGTCCCTGGAGCTCATCTCGCAGGGACCTTCTTAGGTTACCCCGATGTTAGCTCTTGTGTTGAAACACCTGTTAATTACACCCTCACCTCCACAGACTTACTGGGTACATTCAGTTTTTTTTCCTTTAGGATTTTTCATTGTTTATTTGGTGAGGAAGGACAGGAGTGTCAGGTAGGGGCGAGGGGGTAAGATCCCCCCACCCTGTTACTTGCTGACCCACACCAAGGGGAGAAAGGGTGTGTGTGCCCCTGTGCACACGAGTGTGAGGTGCAAGGCTGTGGAGGACGTGTTAGGAAGCTGGGATTTTATTCTGTGACCAAAAGCAAGTCACTGAAGAGGTGTAAACAGGTGCACAGTATGACCAGATTTGTGTTTCAGCTGCAATAAGAGGGTGAGAAGGGAGGCAGGAGATCTGGTGGGAAGAGGCAACGTGGTGATGGAGAAAAGAGAAGATGCTTGAAATGTATTATTCAGACAAAGGTAGCAAGTGTGGTGGGCATGCTTGAAAAAGTAAAAATAGAACTACCATACGATCCAGTGATTCCACCCCTGAGTATACACCCCAAAGCACTGAAAGCAGTGATTTGAAGAGGGATTTACTGGCGTTACTCACAATAGCCAAAAGGTGGAAGCAGCCCCAGCATCCATCAGCAGATGAATGGATAACAGAATATAACCTATCCACATGTGGAATATTATTCAGCCTTAAAACAGAAAGAAATTCTGACACAGGTTCCAGCACGGATGAACCTGGAGGACATTTTGCGAAGTGAAGTAAGTCAGACACAAAACCACAAACACTGTGTGATTCCACTGATGAAGTCCTGAGAGGAGTCAAGTTCACAGAGACAGAGGAGAACGGTGGTTGCAGGGGCTACAGGTAGGGGTGGGGAGTGAGTGCTCAGTGGGGAAGCTTTTCAGCTGGGAAGATGCAGACAGCTGTGGGTGGACAGAACACAACAGTGTGCGTGTACCTGATGCCACTGATGTGTGCACTTCACAGTGGTTATGATGGTAAATTCTACATTATGTGTATGTGAGCACAGTTAGAAAGAAAATGTGGAGGGCAGTGAAGAGAGTCTCAAGCATCTTAGCTGTCTCCTGGGGGATACGTTGGGCCATTTCCACTGACTTCTGGGGAGGTGGTGGGAGAGGGAATTTGAATATAACAGGTTTAAAGAAGTTGGTTGGACAGTCCAGTGGAGAGTCAAACATTCAGGCAGAGAGAAGGATGGACAGGAGAACCTTGGTAGAGAGCTCCAAGGGCGACAAGGAGGCCGCCCGGAGAAAAACCTACATTTCAGGTAGTTTCTCATGAAAATCTCTCACTTTCCTAATTTTAACTTGGATTAAAGGAAATGCTCCACTTCAGTGATAACAATCACGTATCACTGCTTTTATGAAAGATAAGTCCTTCTCTTTTATGACGACAGCCAGTCTGGTCAAGAAGGAGACCTGATCCCGACGGTGCCCACTTTCTGCGGGTGGTGTGGGAAACCGGAAGTGGGGGAGGATTATTTCGGGAACATCGTTTTCAGTCAGTGTGGTGTGTTCAATGAAAGCCCCTGGGTGTAGAGGCCCAAGTGACCAGCAAGCAAGAAATTTTATTTCTCATGTTTTTGTTCCCTTGTTGTTCTAACGAACAACTCGGAGCGAAAAAAAATCATGCTTTTTAACTTCTTCAAGTACTGACCTCTACACCATCCTAGAAACAAAAAAACTGTATAACCATAAACAACTTTCAGAGAGGTTAAGGGTAAGTCCCTAAGCGGGTATTGTCTTCTAAATATATCAATGAACTAGCAAAAAACCCACCTGTTGCCTCATTAGGGATTAGTGCGAGGAGAAGGGGGAGGTTTGGAATTGGCCTTTATTCAGAAAGACCGCAAAAGAAACACAGCCTTAAACCATCAGAGCTGGTGAGGACCTCAGAGGTCACCTCGTTCCACTCTACTCAGGCCCAGGGTTGCAACGTCACTGAAGACAAAGATGGATCAGAACTCGGGTCCTCTTGACACAAAGCACAGACTATGCGAAGTTCAACACGCCACCTCTTCTAAAGGCTCCAACCATAAATGGCACTCTTACCACTGAAAGGTCCTCTCTTAAAGCTGAATTTTAGCAAAAAAACAATTTAGTGGTGGCTGAAAGCCACTTTCCAAATTCAACTCAAACTGTACCAAGCTGGGCGGTGGAAGACTGTAGGCGACAGGCAGTGCCATGACAGTCACATGGGCAGTTTTTCAGATGCAATGAACCAGCTGTGAGCACGATGGCAGGGCCTCCTTAAGACTGATGATGGACTCTTGTCTCATTCTTAAAAAAAGGCGAATACAGTCAAAAGACTGCCACGATGCACTTCAGACACGCACCCGGCAGGAAGCACAGATACTCCTCTGCCCAGGTTACTGACCGAGACAGTGCTATGTGTACCACCTTCCACCCCATCACCACCAACTTTGGGCACTGCTGCCTGCCCAGGGCCCTTGCACTGCTCCAGGATGCTTGCTGGGTTAGCACCTGAACCCCGGCGCTAAACTCTCAAACACTAGCACGTGTGGTGGTTCTGGCTGCGAAGAAAGAGGACAGCTGACCTACTTCCTCAGTCCAGGGTAGCACAAAAACAGGGATATTTTGACGCGGCCTTGTGGAAAGTATAAACATTCCTGATATTCCTGTTTACCTTCTGTGACGAAGACTAAGCAAGTGGAGAAAAGTGACAGCTTTCCAAGTGAGGCAGTAGGATGGGAAAATCCCTCGGATTTTCTAAGAGATTAAAGATAATTCCGTGATCCTGTATCAGCAGTCGATCAGGGATCACACACAGGGGTGTGGGGGCCAGGGCTTCTCGATCCGGTTGCATGCTGGACCCGCTGGGGCCCAGACATGAAACCTCCAGGTCCAGGCCCTGACCCCAGAGATTCTGATGTGGTGGCAGGTGGCAGGAGCCATAAACCATGAGCTGAGTCCACCTTCTGCTTAATGTGCCTGCCATCTGGGCGCCACCTGTGACTGAAATGCTGTGGGGGGCAGCCAGAGAGGGACTAGGAGACGCCTGACACCAAGGCTGCCCGATGGCAGCCCCCCAAACCCGCCTTTCCCATGGAATGGAGTTTTTTCAACCACACGGTGTTCACACTGGAGGCCAGTTTCAGCCCCAAAAGTATCTCCTTGAAGAACGAGCTGTGCAATTGTACTTCTTGTTCGCTTAGTTCCCTTCCTGCCACCTCCCGCATCAGCCAGGGGGACAAAAGCAGCCCAGTGCTCACCAAGTGCAAGTACTCCCATCGGACCGCCAATGCCAGCCATGCTTCCGGACACCTGGGACCCGGCAGTGCTCTCGGGGACTACGGAGCCCCTCCTGGCTGACCTGGGGACTTAAGACTCACAGCCACGCTTCAATTCTTAAGTATCTTATCATTCACAATCAAACAAACAGACATTTCCCCTCAACAGGCATGTCTCTTCCATTTGAAATGTATGGAAATTTAAGTTGCTTGGACTGGGGAGTTGTGCAGAACTTGAGGCATTAAGGCTGAGAAAATTTTGGAAGCAGAGATTAGTAAACATGTTCATTCCTCCTCCTGGAAGGACAGAGCAGTGAAAACCACAGGCGCTCAAGAGCCAGTCTTCAGAGATCAACGGCAAGTGACCGGGGACAGACGATGACGGCCGTTCCCTAACGCTTGGGAGTTCTGAGGCGGGTGAGAGGCGAGACCGCACTTGTGTGACTCTGGAAGAGGAGGTCCAGTGCTGCGGCACAAGGAGCCGCACCTTCTCCTCCCTGCATATCCTTCCAGCCCAGCACGGCTCTCAAAGTGGACTGGGCTCAGAATGAGACACTGGGTCAGCAGACACCCGTGAGTAACCAGCACCCATGGCCCAGCACACGCCAGTATGTGAACAATCCAACACGTTCACTCCTTTTCACACTGGAGCAAGAAGGGGGGGCCGTGGGGCCAAGTGGATCCCTGCTTCTTCGGGTGGCACCAGTTCTCTCAGCCTGCAGCTGCTGCGTCTTGTTTCTGATCCTCGTCCCTTGTTGGCCCAACTACCTGGCGAAGGCTCCCCTCCTGGACGGAGCCCCAGGTCACTGCCTGATTTCCTGGACTGGAACCCGGACAGGAGGCTCTGGCAGAGGCTTGTCAGAGAGCCCAAAGGAGGGTTTTCCCTTCCCCTGTCCACCGCCTGAGTCCTAACACTGCAAGGGAACAGAGAGTTTCAAGAGTTTCCTTGCATTAGAGGAAAAATTAAAATTCAGGAAAGAGGGGAAAAATGGATAAGGTTCTGAGCCCCTGTCTATGCACCAATAGTTCACAACAGGTTTTACTCAACAAAGAAACACCTTCTCAGTAAAGTGGAGGGTCTTTGAGGGGCAGGAGTAACCTCTCAGGTGCTAGAATGTCACAGAATATCAGAGCGAAAAGGCTCAGGGAACAAAATGGAACTTACATTTAAAGCAAGCACAAACCTGCCTTCCACAGGCAGTTTTCAGGACAAAGTCAAGTGTGATAAATACATAGTTCTTTCCTCTCAGCCAGCCTGCAATTGTGAACACCAGGAAGTAAAGAACACGCCATGGGAAAGGCACAAGTGAAAAGCAATCTTTCAGGACAAATGTTATTTGTAGCTTAAGTTCACCAGGGCTCTTCTGTATATAATAGATGAACTTGAAAAAAAAAAAGCTGTACTTTATTTTCAACTCAGGTTCAAGGACTTGAATATATCATGCAATGAGGAAACACCCTGGCAATGGGTGAACAGGCAGCCCAGCAAGACCTCCACCTGAACGCGAGTGCTCGGCAGGGCTGGTCCAGCGAAGCTCTGAACTCCGGGCAGCTTTGCCAGCAACGAAGGCAGATGCCTTGGCTTTGGGCCAAAATCTGCAAATTCCGCGCCTTTCTCTTTGGATCCCTGGAGAAATCATAGCCTAATTCTTGCATTTGCTTCCTGAGGTGACATTAAAGTCACACGCGGGCCCCGAGGGACCCAGATACACGGCTGGGCCTGTGATCACCGAGGTGAGCCCCTCAGTGCTGTGCCCTGTGCAGCATTACTGAGCTCAACACGATGATTAACCCTCAGCGGCCAGAGGACAGTCGCCAGGATGTGCCAGGATGAACATAAAGAGGGCACAGACAACTGGTGGGAGCCACCAGCATGCTCCAAAATTAACTGGAACGAACTGGAGAGGGACAGAGTATAGTGACATTCTCTCAGGAGGGGCAGACCAACTGCACACCCCCAAATCTGGAAGAATCACCATTGTCGGTACTGTAGAAAAACAAAGACTGTGAAGTGACGTTGTTCAAAACATACGAACTCTACTTGGTCTGCATTTTACTAGAAGCTACAGACCGATGTTTCTTAAAGCCTCAAAGTTAGCTTCTCACTAAGACGAAAGATTAAACCAGTGATGTTCAGTAGATACATAGTGTAAGCTGCACATATAATTTTAAATTTTCTTGTAGCCACAATGTAAGTAGTTAAAAGAAGTGAAATTGATTCAAACAATACATTTTACTTAACCCACCCTATAAAACACATTATCATTTCAGCATGAAATGACTCTAAAATAATCACACATTTTTTGGGTCATACTAGGTCTTGCAATCCAGCGTTTATTTTGCACCTGCAGAACATCTCCATTCAGACCGGCCCTGTTTTAAGTGCTCAACAGCCATGTTAGTCCAGCAGCTACCATGCCGGACGTTCGGGGTAATCAGACTCTCCTACCTCACTAGGAGCCCATTACTGCCCCATCTAGACAATGTGGAAAAGTAAACTTGCTACAGTTACCTTTCTCTAAAGGAGTCCCCAAAGGCCATTTTACTCAAATGCTCTGTTACTTCTGTTGAAGGCGCTTCTTTCAAAAGCCACCTCTCTTGTCACAGCCACAGACCCCTGACACTGAGCCCTGCCTGACTCGGTCAGCCTCTCTCTGGGGGGCCCAGCTGCGTTCCCTCTCCAGGCAGGGAACTTGGGGAGCCTTGGATGTGCTGGGATACGTTACAAAGCTATAAAGATGACATGGTTAAACTCTCAGGGGCCATGTGCTTGACAGTCCAGGACTTGACACTAGCAAAATGAAGAACCCACAATGTGAAAACCTGACACTGCCCCCAAGAACAGCCCCCTCCTCCTTTTCTAACCTGATACCTCATTACACAGCTGGGAAACGGGGCGATGGTTCATTATTTCTGAGCCACAGGTGAGGCCCTCATTTCCGCTTCAGTCCCTGATGGACGACAACGGCCCAGACACAGTGACAAGATTAGGGCCCAAGCGATAAAGAGGGATCACACCTACTGCAAGGCTGCAAAGAAGCGGGGACAGAAGCAGCAGCGTCGTTTCCAGGGGGAACGTCATTTCCACCCTCGGCCCGCGAGCCCCTACCTTTGTGGTTGAAGATGCCTTCCATCTCCATGCTGCTTCTAGAGTGGGCGATGCACAGGGAGCCGCAGGGGACCAGGCCTTCGGCGGCGGGGGACCGGTCAGTGGTCCGCACCAGACACCAGTCGGGCTTGTCGTGGGGCCGCTCCAAAACCTCCACGGTCTGCCCGCGGCGGATGGTCAGCTCGGTGCTGTTGCAGGCCGTGAAGTCGTGGATGACCACCGTCAGCTCGCAGCCGCCGGAGAGCTGCGGAGGGAGAGGGCACAGGTCAGCGAGCCCAGCCACTGGCCTTCAGCAGGGGAGGCCGCGGACTGCACCAGGAACTCTGTTTCCACTCCACACGGGTCAAAGCCTTGCGCACCAGCTGGGCGAATCTCTCCAGTCTCAGTCCCGTAATTCATGTCCCTTTGGAATCACACGAATAGTTACTTACTTTTTCACGTTCTAACGTATAATTATGATTTTCTGAGTTTTACACTATCAGAATCTGATGTCTTTTCATGTAAGTGGCCAAATCTTTTTGTGCCTCAGACATAGTTATCTCCCTTCTCACAAAGTGCTATACACAGGTGACCCTTGAACACCACAGGGGTTGGGGCGCTGACCTCCTGCACGGTCAGAAACCTGTGTGCAACTTCTGACTTCCCCCAAACTTGACCACTAGTAGCTCAGTGTTGACCAGAGGTCTCACCAATAGCATGAACAGTTGATTGACACATATTTTGTATGTCATCTGTATTATGTCCTATATTCTTACAATACAGTAAGCTACAGAACAGAAAACGTTATTAAGATCATAAGGAAGAGAAACTACATCGACAGTATATGTACGTATTTACTGAAATAAATGCACATGTAAGTGGACTTGCACAGTTCAAACCTGTGTTGTTCAAAGGTCAACGGTATTCATTTCTAAACTTACTGTAAACGAGTAAAAACTCTACTTCAAGGCCCTTTGGGAGATTATTGTGAAATATGGTGATAGAATGAAACAGGGTTCTGTTGGTAATGGGCAGTGTGAGCCACAGGCACGTGGGCTCCTCAGTGCGGCCTGGGTCAGGAGGGAGCGGCCACAGGGGGCCAGGACCCCGAAACTCGGGCAGAGCACGCCCTTCTGTCTCCAAAACCCTCCCCACCCCCAGGATGCTTCTTAGTGTGCCAGTCTGGCTCTCAGCCACTGACCCCGGCCCCGCCACGTGCCACGTGCCTTCCAGCCTGAGAGTCCCTTCCCTTCTTCCCTCGCCTGTTCTCTCCTCTAAGCTCACTCCCGTTTCCATCAGAACCCTTCTAAGGCGCAGGCCCTTTGAAGCACATCCAAAAAGAACATCACCTCCATGATCTGCTTGTAAGCAAGCGCGTGGCCTCCTCGTGACCGTCTGCCATCCACGACCTGTGCCCTGTGCGTCTTCCCTGAGACTCCTTGGGGACAGCTCATGTATATGCTCCTTACTATCCCTCTTACGTAAGAATCCCTTGACCAGCTCCCTGCCTGTGGGCCGTCCCCTCTGGCCCTTCAACACGGGCAGCCCCAGGCTCAGTCTCTCCTATCTGTCCACGATCCCTGACGTGGGCTCCAAAGCCGTGCCCTCCATGCTGGGGACTTCCAGGCAGGCATCCCAGCTTGCTGTTTCCCTGCCCCTTCAAAGCAGTGAGTCTAGGACACGGCTCATTATCCACCCCTGTTGCTCCCCCTTCCGCCACCACACACACATCTGTTTCTCTTCCGGTGTTGCCTTTCAGGTGATGGTGTCACAATCTCCCCATTTTTCACCCTCCAAATACTGCCAGATGGAAGTTAGGGCATCTTTCTGATTCCGTCCTTGCTCTGCACACCCACAGTGGTCATATCATTTGGATTTTTGCAGTGATCTCCGGAGTGGCCCGCCTGACCCAGGCCCTCCCCCAAAACCCCCTAAGCACCGCTGCCAGAGACCTTTTCAAAATGTGGCTCCTCCAGTGCAAACATGCCTCCTCCTATTCTGGAGCCTTAGACACAAATAAATTCCTCAGCCCAGGATTCAAACTGCCCACGACCGGGGCCCAGTCCACCTTCCCAGCCACGTTCAGCTTCTTCTCAGGTGCCTCACGGCCTGAAGTGGCCGTGTCCTCCTCTGAGGCGGGTCCTGCATGCCTTGTGTCCACGCCACCTTTCTGCTCAGAGCCCCCACCTCCCCAGTTTGTCTAGTATAAGCCCCCGCCAAACCCCTCTGAGAAGCCACTCCTGTATCCACCACCCTTAGCACTTGGTTAAATCATGTCTCAATTGTGACATGAGCCGCATCTTGGGTTTTACATGTGTCTGCACTCGGCATCAGAAAGCAAGTGTGTGTCATTCTTCTGTGAGGGTCTCAGTCACTGCTGAGCCCCCAGCACCGACAAGGGCCGGCGCATGGCTTGGATGAGGAAGCTGTCGGAGAACAGAGCCTTTCCTAACGCTGCCTCATGTGATGCTTTGTGTCCAGCAAGTGGTCAAACATGTGCTGAAGTGAAAAAGGTAAAAACACGTTTGCTCTAAAAATGAAGGCACTGTTTGAAAATGAAGATGAAACATGGGCTTTTCCTCTGGGACTCCGGGAGCTGTCCCTGCCTGTGTTCAGTATGTGACGCGCCCAGCTTTCTGTTGGCCTTTGGGCATCAGCACAGAGACCACACAAGAGCAGAAGATGGACACTGGGCTGCGGGAGGAAGGGGCAGCCAGGCCAGGCCTCCTGCTGGGTGGGAAACATCCTCAGTCCAAAGAGGCCGCTGGGCCCCACCCCTGGCCAGGCCCTGGGAGCCGTGCCCCCTGCACGGGCTTGTGGCCCTGCGGCGTCCTCGGCCACTCGCCTGTGCTGAGGCTGTCGGCCGCCCCGTTATGCTCCCTGCTCTCCACTGCCCTCTGGTTCTAACAGCCTGTCTTTCCAGAGAAAGTTCAGATATTTAGAATAAGAAACACATGTCCACCAGACAACCACAGAAAGCAAAACAAAACTTTTCCATAATGAAGCACAAATATTGACAAAAGGAATTGTGTCTGCTAGGCCACAAAGGACATTTTCCACAAATGATTAACCCCCTTCTAGAGGTTACAAATTTCTCTGTAGAAAAAAACCAAGCTGAATCTCACATATTCCTCTGTGAACAAGTGAAGAGAAGATGCTAACGTTAAAAGGTTAAAGGCAGAGGCCCAGTCTAGGGAAGAACTTTCCTCATAAAACCCTATGTGGTGGAAGTGGTTAATCCCTGTAACGAAAAGGAGGAATGTTTCCCATCCCAGGGAGAGTGTGGCCTGTGAACAAGCCCCAGTGAGGAGTCCAGCCTGCTGAGGCCCCGCAGGCCCACACTCCCCATGGACTCTGCCCCCAGCCAGAGCTTTCCCAGGACGGCCAGTCGTCCACTGGCCCTGCTTGTGCATGTGGCCCCAGCGTGTCCCCACCCCGGCCCTGGGAAGTTCAACTTCAAGACACACCACCTCATCGCCAGCCTGTGCCGGCTGCTGCCTCTAGAGATCTGTGAATTTTTCAGGCCGCCCAAAGCCACGTGGTGTGTCCTGTGGGTGGGGGAAGGGTGGGAAGGAGAAGGGGGCTGCTGAGAGGAATGAAGCTAGACTTCCCTCCTGGCACTGAGTTTTAGCCCCTCACAGTCATCAAAACTATTGGAAACATCTGTGCACTTGACAGAGCCTGAGAAAGAAAAATCAAGCCTGTTCTGACAAAGAATTGCAGACTGAGTCAAAATTCTTTTTCAAAAGCTTTAGGGAACTTAGTAACAGACTCTAGTACCAGAAGAATCTGTTTCCTCACAGTGCTAGAATTACTATTTTTAAAAAAATCCTATCTTCTTGGCTTTACTCCTGAAAATCAACTGACTTTTCCCATAAGAATCTCCACACAAATCCGTGCAGGGAGGATTAAGTGGACGTTTTCTAGTCCAGAGAAGAGGCAATTTGTGGATTTCTGTCTCACCGTTCACATTTGAATATTTTAAATACGTTCCAAAGCTTGTCTTTAAAACCAGGTTTGTTAATTAAAAACAACAACAAAAACTTTTTTTCTGTATAAAAGATGAACTATTTTGAGGAAGCAACGTAAGTCATTAAAGTCTTTTGAGAATTAAACTCCTAATCAGAAAGAGTTCAGATAACATACAGCATTAAACATGTCTTACTTGCTGTCAGTGACATTTCTACCCCCAGTGGTACAATTTCATTACTAGGTTGAAAGAGTTACTATTCCATTTATCTGGTTTAAAATTTTACTTTTTCTTTCCAACCACACTTTGTGACAATTTTCAGCGTCTTTTTCATGCCTATGTGTTTTCCGGTCTTCTGTTGTGGGCTCCTTACCACACACATTCAGTTCAGGACCGCAATTCATGAAAAATCTCAATTTCCATGACTCACATTAACTCGTGTGACAGTCTCATCAAAGATAGTTCTTTTTTTTCCCCAACTCTCTTGTCACCTTAAAAAATTAAAGGTGGGGACTAAACAGCATGACAGTAAAATGGCCTTAACTGGAGCGTGGACCATGGATTCCACAATGAAATGCCTCCTCCATGACCACCCATCTCCCCCTGAAAGGGCTGCAGGGAACTCCAATGACCCAGACGCACAGACAGCAGAATCAAACCAGAGTCCCTTTGCCTGAACTCTCTCCAGAATGGCTGAAAATGAGTAAGTTGCTGTGTTTCATCTAAAAGAATGAAATACTCATCTCTGATCAAAGGCATGTGAACCTTCAACAATGTCCAAAGAACAGAATTTCACTTTTTTCTGGAGAAACCATGTTATATTGATTTGATTTGCCTGAGCCCAGTTAAGGGCAGTAAGCGAAGCAGACCACGGCCGGGGACGTCTCCCTGTTGCTCTGGCGTCTCCTCCCTGGTGCCCTGTGATGAGGCATGTCTACGTTACAAGAACAGATAGTTCTTGAGAGACAAGAGCAGACACCTGGTTTGAAGGAGCCCTGGGGCAGGTTCTGCCAGAGGAACAGGGGCTCTTTACGACTGGCTCGGTGGAGGATGTCTTCCTCCCTGCACAGGATTCTGCTTTGAGAACCTAAGATCGATTGCAGGTGGGTGTCTGGTCAATTCTCTGAGAGCACTTCCAAGGAGACGGGGATGTGGTCGAACAAAAGCCACCTCCCCCTGAAGAACCTTCTACAGCCCAGGACAGCGCGGGCGCTCAGAGACCTCACAAGGGGGGCTTGCGGTTTTCTGGAGGCTTCACACAGAGCAGACCACAGAGTGGTTCCTCGGTTAAAGGG